GAGTTGCATTTCTCGTATTGGGCACGCCGTTTCACTTGCATTCTGCCTCTCTTTTCCCTTCTTTTCTCCCTTTTTTTTAAGGTATGTGGCGGTTTGTTCTTTTATATATGGTTTGCTGACAACCTTACGCAGACAGCAAGAGAGGACCAATGACACCGCTACGTTGAAGGAAGTTGACAAGAACTTTCATCTCGAGGGCAAGGTGGCTGGGGCTGAAAGTCGCGCAGAGGATGCGACGAAGAAGGCGAATGAAGCCCTGGAGCGGCTTGGTTTTCTGCAGAGTATGCTGTCAGATGAAGTTGCTGCTGCAAATGAGCAGGCTCAAGCTTAGGAGATGGACGCCATCTGCGAGGAAGTGAATAAGGAGTATGAGGCGGAAATACAACGGAAGGAGGCGGAGCGTTTGGCTGGGAAGGAGTGCCTCGAGGCGGACCATGCTAAGATGCCGAAGAACCTGCAAGACGAATTTCGCCAGGCGAAGGAGGACCTCGTCCGCGTGCATGAAGCCTCGAAGGTAAATGCTGCCCACGAAGCGCAGACTGATATCGTCCGCCACTATAGGAATTGTGCCACTTTCGATCACGTTTTGGCGGATTGTATGACCAAGGCGGTCATAGCCATGCGCAAGAATGTGCGCCCTGAAAAACCCGGGATGCGTTGGAATACAGTGGCCATGGTCAATCATGTCAAGAAATGGCTTGGAGAGAGTTGCCCCTTCAGAGATAAATTCCACCAGTATTTGTGCCTTTATCGTTGGTCTTGTCGCGTACTGGATGTCGTATTCCAAAAACTCGACGACCCACTTGACCATCCGCCCTGACACTTCCATTGAGCTCAATATCTTTTTTATCGGAAGTTTGGTTAAGACAATGATTGAGTGTGCTTGGAAGTAAAGGCGCAGTTTCTGTGACGCGCTTACCAAAGCTATGGAAGCTTTTTCTATTGGGGAGTATCTTGTTTCCGCACAGAGTAGCATCTGAGATGTGTAATATACTGGACGCTCGGTTTGGTTGTCTCTCTTGGATATTAAGACCGCGCTTACAGCTCTAGTTGACACAACATGGTACAAGAACTACTTTTCATTAAGCTTGGGAGTGGTCAGTATAGGGGGGATACAAGATATGACTTGAGCTCTTGGAAGACCGCTTCACAGTCTTGTGTCTATGGGAATCGTGTGCCGCTTTTCAATGTTTTGAAGAAAGGGGTGCACTTATCAGCTTATCTTGGGATGAACCTTCCCAGGGCCGCTATCTTACCATTCAATGATTGTATTTTTATTGCGCTTTTCGGTGCTCGTAGTTGCTGAACGACAGTGATTTGCTTTGGCTCAAATTCAATGCCATGCCTGGTGATCATGAAGCCCAGAAATTTTTCTACGTCCGCGCCAAATAGGCAGTTTAGGGGGTTTAGGCGGAGATTGTGTTAGCATAGCGCTTCAAATGTCTTGCGCAGATCTTCTAGATGGGAGCATCGCACTCTGGTTTTCACGATGAGGTCGTCCACGTACGCCTCAATGTTCCGCCCGATCTGTTATGAGAAAACCTAATCGATCATTTGTTGGTAAGTGGCACCAGCATTCGTCAATCCAAATGGCATTCCTACGAAGTAGAAGTTTCCGAACGGTGTCTGCAGGCGGTTTTTTCTTTGTCTTCGCGGGACATTGGGATCTGGTGGTATCTTGAGAACATTTCCAAGAAGGACAATGTTTCATGGTCCGAAGTGGCTTCGATCAATTGGAAGATGCGCGACAGGGGGTAAGGATCCCCGGGGCACAACTTGTTGACTGTTGTATAGTCGATGCACATTCGCCATGCTCCAGAGGATTTTCTCACAAGGGCCACGTTGGCTAACCATTTTGGATATTTGACTTCGCGGATTAATCCCGCAGCAAGGAGCCGCGAGACTTCCTCTTTTATGGCCTTTAGCTTTTTGCCTGTGAAGCTTCGACGCGCTTGCTGCCTTGGCTCCGCGCTCACGGGAACTGCGAGACAATGATGGGCGATTTGTCTTGGCACTCCAGGCATGTCCTTAGTGCACTAGGCGAATAGTTCCGTGTACTCCTTGAGCAATGTTATTAGTGGTTCGATCAAGTCATCGTGGACGTGAGTTGAGATGCGGACTTTCTTAGTTGGTTTAGTTGGGTCAAGTGCGATTTCGAAGTCGGAATCCATGGGCGTGGATGTTGGTTTGGAGTATCTCTCCTTATCCTTTTGTTACGCCCCAGGGTAGCCTGCGCGCTTCTCCAGTTCCTGCCTTGGTTGGGAATTTGAGCTTTTGGTGGCATGTGGATGGCAAGGCCATGAATTTGGCAAGGAAGGGTCGTCCCAGGATGCCATTGTGGGGTGAGTTACAGTCGTTCCTGAGAATCCCACCAAATTTTATTGCGGGTGCTAGATCATGCGCGGATCGATGTCTATTTGATCGAGAGTACTCTTGAAAAGGATATCGGCTGCAATACCTCCATCTAGCAACAGACGATGAATTTTGCAGGCAGCTACCAGGGTGGTGATGGTGAGAGGTTCTTGTGACAGGACTCCTTGCAGAAATTCCTCGTCGTCAAAGTTTAGGTTGCATTTTGGCTACACCTCAGTTGTTGCACATTCCATTGCGCGCTCGCGCTTTGTCTTCTTTTTTGGGCGGTCTCCTTCAATCATCACGACGCATATTTCTTTCCTCACTATGTATGAGTCAATGGCTTCGTTGTAATCATGTTGTGGCAGAGGCGGCGGCTCCGTGTCTTGTTCTTTCTGCTCCTCCGCTCCGCGGACGAATTTAGACAAAAGTCCTCTTCGAATAAGAGCCTCAATTCGACTCGGAGGTTTACGCATTCTTTTGTCAGATGACATGTTTCTCTGTGGAAGTCGTAGTGCTTTTTGTGGTCGCGCATATGAGCTGCGGCTCTTACTAGCGCATGTCAGTTAAGCTTGTAGCCTTTCTCGCGGATGAGGTGGAACACTTTCTTCACCAAATTGTTGAGTGGCGTGAAAGTGTTCGGCGGGCGCCTATCCGGTGAACGCCTTTGCGCCACTTGCTCTGGCGGGGCAATCGGGCGACTTGCTCCACTGTGCCTTTGTATCATTTGCTCGTGTGGCACTGGGAGTTGTCTCCGCGTTTGGTCTTCTCTGATTTGCTTTGATGGTTCGAAACGCCTGACAGATCCTGCACCAAGAGTTTCTTCCAAGTTAATGGCTTTTTCGATTTTGACTTCTAGCTCTGTTGACAGTGTGACTGGTCTTTTTTCCATCGCCCGTTTGAGCTCCATGTTGGTGGTGGCTTCCATAAGGTGGTGGGCGGCGGTTTCGGGGGTGAGATCCTGAACTGCCATTGCTACCTTAGACCATCTGGCGTAGAATGCCCGGAGGCTCTCCCCGTCATTTTGCTTGATATCAATTAGGGCTTTCAGGTGGAGGGGTCTTCTCTTTTGGGAAGCAAACTTGGTTGTAAACAGGAGCATGAACTCTTCGAACGAGTGAATGATCCTGTTTGGAAGCCTGTTGTACTAATTGAGGCATATGCCGGCGAACGTTGAGGGGAAGGTTCTGCAGTGGGTCGCGTTGGAGTTGGTTTGGAGTTGCATCCGAAGGCAGAAGGTGCTGACATGGTCCTCCGGGTCAGTCGTTCCGTTGTATGTTGGGAGGGCAGGTAGCATTCCGCTTAGGTGTTCTGCCATGATTTCGGCGCTCAGTGGTTGGTGGAGGGTCCTCCTGGGTTGAGGGCGGTATTGCGGGGATAGGTGTTGTTCAAAGAAGCTGAGGTCCGCTCTTGTTTGTGGCTCGACTTGTTATGTTGCCTGCGCTGGTGGTGCGACCGGCACTAGTTGTGGCACGGTCATCGCCAACTATGTCGTTGACGCGGTCTCTTTGCTCATCATGAGCGCTATGACTTGATTCATCTTGTTTTGCATATCGGGTATGACCTCATTTTGCTTCACCATTTGCAGCCTCATCTCCTTGGTTGTTAGCTCCGGTTCCTCCTGCTCAATGTGTACCACGTTGAGGTTGCTAGCTTCTTCGAAGCTTCTCACGTCCTTCATAGCCTTGACCGGGGTTGCTTCTCCTGGGGTGTTTGAAGTTTGTCCTTACATATTATCTTCTTTACTCGTGGCCCCACGGTGGACGCCCATTGTTTGTGTCTAAAAGAGAGTAGGAGTGAAACATAGAAGTAAGTGGGGTGCGAGTACAGTTAAGAAGTCTTTCGCTTATTTCTTTTACTTGATCACAAGCTTACAAGGTTTAAAGCATAAAGGAAGAGAGAGAGAGAGAGAGAGAGGTGATTTTTAGAATTTCTAGTGAGAGAGAGCAAAGATGAGATCCACTCACCCACCGGTGTAAATGCTCTATTTATAGGCTACCGTTCGATGGGTGGATTTTCGAGATGATATGACAATTGGAAAAGATAGGGGTTTATGGTATGATGAGGTCTACGATTAGGGCTGGGTAGCCTTGTCAGTCGTCCGGTGTCATTTCTGAGCCTCGCGTGCGAATGGCGCTGTCGCGCTCCCGCTCTTCTTGGCAACAGGCGGTACTGGAGAGGTGTCTCTGCAACTTATGCGCGGACGGTGCTAGCGCGCTGTCGTTCCTCTTGGTGATCAGCGATGTCTTTCCGCATAGGACGAATGCCTCTCCCCACGCCGCGTTGCCATTTGCGTGACCTGCTTTATTTTCTGCGAGTGGGACATTGTAGGCGCTCTTCCTGACGAGTCGCTATGGACGCGTTGATTGATGGAGCAGGTGAAGCCGAGCCATTCCCCCAATAAGGTGAATTCGTATAGAAACTTTTTTTTTTTTTTTGGTGAGAAGTATAGAAACTTTTCTATTACAATTTCCAACTTTACTAGTATAAAAAAATGTGTTTGGCTCATTGAATTAGTATAGCATTTTTTGCGAAAAAAGAAGAATTAGTATAACATTTTTACATCCCGATACCCCTTTAATTAATCAAACACTAAACTTTCCATGGTTGTGTTAACCATTCACACTACAAGAAGCAGCAGTTCTGCGATGGCATGTCCGCCGCTAAAGACCAAATATGCGTCGCCAAATGTTTTGAGAACCGGCATCGCCGAAGACAAAGTTGTCGTCGCAAAAGATGGCCTCACAAAATGTCTTCCAGTGATGACCACGCTCGTCGTCAGTTTATTTAGCGACGACATATTCCATCCAGATGCAGTATTCTATCCCTTCTACATCGGTGGTTTTGGTTACCTCCTTATCATGCAATTCAAGTACTCATAATGTAGACAGCGAAGGATCAATTGGTAACTTGCTTCTCTCCTGGCCACCTCCGTTCACGCCTCTGATCTATTCTCCGCAGTACTCCAGAAATTAAACGTCGTCACTGCTTAGGCGAACCAGCCCTAGGAAATTTTGACCTGAAGCTCTAGCTCCGGCGAGAACAATCTCTTCCTCTCCGGTGTTTCAGAAACCCTATTGTATTAGATTATGTTGCCGTTGTGGGCGCCATAATAAAACAGTACATTTCTCGGCAGATTAAGCGAGGTTAACTTTTGTGCTGGTGATTCTCCGTATCCATGGAGGAGATAGGTGGAAGCCAACAGCAGGGCTCTCCAAATTTGAAAAATAGATCTAAAATTTGTAACAAATTTAGAAAATAGAGTGGTCGGTAAGGTCTTAACCGTATATAATTAATATTTGAAATTAACAAGTAATAGGCTAGATATGTATTTGGAAATCATTACATGAATTTGATACAAATCCAAATACCATATATAGTTAAGGGTTAATTGTATGGTTGGTCACTGAGATTACAAAAAATGGTTATGTTTGGTCACTACAAATATTTAATTTCATTCATGGTCACCGGGTTTAGTAAAAGAACAATAAAGGCTCTCTTCCTCCCTACAAAAAAAAAAAAAAAAAAAAAAACTCTCTTCCTATCTCACGATCTGTTACTTTTCTTCCTCCTTGACCAAAAACCAGACCCATCATCTCCTGTAGTTCCTCTTCTTCTCGTACGACAGCTTCCACCAGTCTGGCGGTCAGCGACAGTCCGCTTCATGCCGTCAACACCACAAACCACTCGCCGCAGACACTCCCCTATGTTTTTTCCTCCCCTAGATCAGCCTCAAAGAAAATAAAATCTAAAAACACACATGCATTCATAACACCATACCGTCGTTGTAAACAAAGGAGATATGAGGAACATACAAGGTGAGCACAATATCTGTCTCTAGATCCGCATCGCCCGTCGATCTCCGGATTTCCCCCAAAGTCATCGCCGGTCAAAGTCGATCTCCAGATTCCCCCGCTGCTCAAGTCTTGCAATTCGTGGGGCTGCTGATGTTTCCAATCACCGAGCCGACGAGGTTATTGCAGGCCTAGATCTGAAGGCAGTAGAGGTCCAAAATCATCTTCCCCTGTTTTCGCGTTGGCAAGGCAGAGCTCCTCGAATCCCTCCATCAAAGAGAAGAAGAGAGAGGTGAGAGGCGGCAAGCACACCACGATCTGGCTCCGCGATGGAGTTCATCGTCTGGACTTCCGTCGAAGTCGGATGAATCTGGCGATGAAAGAGGAGGGAGCTAGTGAGATTGTGGATGCGTATTCAGGGAAGAGGAGTAGGTTACCAGGCTTTGGTAATGCATGGTGGCGGCGGCGACGACGGTTTTGATGGACGCGAAGCAACTGAAAGAGAGCCAAATTAGGATTTCTGTTAGAGATGGGTTGCTTCCACCTGATTTGAACAGAAGATGGGTATCACAAATTGGTGGGGAAGAAAGAGGGTCTAGGGATTTTTTAATCTTTAATTTTTTGGGTTAATTGCATGGTTGGTCACTGAGATTACAAAAAACGTTCAAGTTTGATCACTCGAAATATTTAAATCCATTGTTGGTACTTCAGTTTGGGTCTAGTTAGTATAACAACAGTATATTTGTTGTTATTATAACAACAAGGACAAAAAGGTAATCCAACCAAACACAATTAAATTAAATTTAAATTTAAAATAAAAAACTACCTTTTCTCCGTCTCATCCCATCCAGATCTCATTCTGCCTTCTTCCTTTCATCCGACGACTCGGCTCCCTGAAACAGCTGCGGCAGCTGGGCGCCGGGAGAGCATCTCCGACGGCGTGCCTTCCGACCACCCCCACAGTAGCGACGCTTCTCCTCCGCCATGCTTCTTCCTCCGCCGCCTCTACTTCTTCTGTCACCAGGCGTTTGAGGTTGTGAAGGCGAGGAAGAACGTTGTCGCTAGAGAAATCAGAATTACGAGGCGTCGCCGATCTTACGATAGCTCCAAGACGAGGCCAGATTTTGAGATCGTCTCCAGAGGCTCGCAATTGTGAGTTTGTGATTCGAATTTCTATATTCCTCCCTCTACTTTTTTCCGATTCAATTGAATCTTGTGTGAATTAATTTTTGAATTGAATCGGATCTGGATGTTTAGCGGAGCGGATTGTGTTTGCAAGGACGGTGGCAGCGGAAGTGGTTACAGGGAAATTGGTGTTCGGGAAGGTGGATCTGGTGTGGAAGATCTTCTCCTTCCCAGTGCTGGAGATGTGAGGGCAAGCCATCTCGAAGAGCAACGAGAGGCGCAACCATGGATTTGATTTGTGACACGTTCAAGCTGTGGCTTCTGTAACACGGGTAGACTGTATCCACAAGAAAAGCAAGCTGGATTCCTTCGATGGGATTTGGGAACTAACTGGAAGAAGTCCAAAATTAGAACGAATTATATATTTTTGTAATTATACGAATTGAACATGGTTATATATGTTTTTTTGGTGATAATGGTATTCATTTTCAGGTTTCTTTTCATAATGCAAACCAGAAACACGATAAAGCAAACCACAAAAACAAACTAGAAACGTCCTAATGCATACCTAAAATGTATTAAAACAAACCAGAAACCTCACAAAGCAAACCACATAATTTTCCAAAACACACCAGAAACCTCACAAAACAAACCACAGAATTTTAAAATACACACCAGAAACCTCATAATGCAAACCACAAACACGATAAAGCAAACCACAAAAACAAACCAGAAACGTCCTAATGCCGACCAAAAATCTATTAAAACAAACCAGATACCTCACAAAGCAAACCACATAATTTTCAAAAACACACCAGAAACCTCATAACGCAAACCACAAACACGTTAAAGCAAACCAAAAAAGCAAACCAGAAACGTCCTAATGCAGACCAAAAATCTACTAAAACAAACCAGAAATCCCGCAAAGCAAACCACAGAATTTTAGAAAACACACCAGAAACCTCATAATGCAAACCACATACACGATAAAGCAAACCACAAAAACAAACCAGAAACGTCCTAATGCAGACCAAAAATCTATTAAAACAAACCAGAAACCCCGCAAAACAAACCAGAAACTTCTCAATGCAAACCACAAACACGATAAAGCAAACCAGAAACTTCTTAATGCAAACCACAAACACGATAAATCAAACCACAAAAGGCATACAAAAATATGAGAAACCAAACCATAAATCTCACAATGCAGACCACAACATCCGGTGGTCGTTGGCCATTGACCGGTCAACGAAGACCGTTGACCGGTCAACGAAGACCGTTGACCGGTCAACGAAGACCATTGACCGGTCAACGAAGACCGTTGACCAAACTCCGATGACCGTCGGTGAGTAGATTCCGGCGCCGATAGGCATATTCCGGTCCCGATGACTAGATTCCGACGCCGGTGAGCATATTCCGATGACGGTGGCATATTCCGATTGCAAAATAGCATATTCCGGGGACAAAAAAGCATATTCCGGTGACCGGCGACCAGATTCCGGCGACCGGTGGCCGAATTCCGGCGACCAAATTTTTGGTCCGAAAATAAAAAAAATATTTTTATTTTTTATTTTTTTTATTTTTTTATTTTTATATTATTATTTAAACATATTTTCATAATGACAATTATACCCCTGCTTTGATTTTACACTAGGTCAACTCATTTAATAAAAAGTCATCACAATCCTAGCTTCCTATTGGTTGGAGACTAGTGTTGTTACAATAACAACACAAGGGGTGTTGTTATACTATCTAGTCCCCTTCAGTTTACTCAAACCGTTCACGTTTGGTCACTCTTTGTCCAACTCTGTTAACTTTGGCTGATGTGGCAGTCAACTCTCAAAGTTGATCGTTAGCTTAGTGACGTGGCAACTAAAAAATTATTAAAAATAAAAAAAATTGTTTATATCTTCCACCTCATTATTACATTCATTATAAATAAAAAAATAAAAAAAACCTAATACCCTACCCTACTTCTGAGGCTCCCATATTTCGTAGTAAATGCAGATAAAAGATTTGCTTTGCTTCACAGAGTATCCAGAGAGAAAGTAGGAGATAGTTAAAGTCATGTTTTTAGTTAATTGGGGCTTTCCTCAAACAAGCAGATTGGTGTTGTGTTCAAATCATGTCAGTGATCACCATATTGGTTCGATTCACCTTGAACTGGAGATTGAGAACTGACCATTCCCAGCCGAATTGTATAACCCAAAGCTACATTCGACCAATTCGATCAAACTTAGTGACCAAACATGAACGTTTTTTGTAATCTCAGTGACCAGCTATGCAAATAACCCATATAGTTAATATACAAACAATGATTTAGAATTTGGAAATCCAAAATCTCAAATACGGAACAAATCCAAATCATTCTGTCCAAATACATCCAAATATTCATAGCAATAAACTGCAGCTAGCAATGAAGTTCCTTGTGCAGCTTTGCAGTGAGCTGGTAGTTATTCATTCACAATTTTATGCAGGCAGCAAAATGCTAAACAAGTTTGGATCAAGTTGCATGAAGAAGCGCCTACCCTCCCTATAACGTAAGGTAAGAGAAGTTTCTCTTCATCATATAAAACTTATCTTCATCGGTATAATCTTAGGTTGCTATGGTGGAAACAGGAACGCAATTTCACATTGGAAGCATGTATTTGTCTTCAACGAATATTTATGATTACCCCGTACTATGTACAGCTGGCAATTGAGGAAACCTCTTTATGAAAATGGTTAATGTGTCATCATATAATGTACGTGCTCACTCACTCAATTCCTTCGCAACGAAATCTAAATAGCCATCCAAGTATCTTGGGGTAAAGGCAACAATATCAATGGATAGGATTAAGGCTATATTTTTCCTGTTGGTTCTACTTTACACTTTTGCATCCCTGCAGCATTTGGATGCAGCTTTACGCGATGACAACATTAATCCACAGATGGTCACCACTATCAACAGGAAGACGTTGCCTTATAATTCTATTGGTGGTAAGTTCTTTCAAGTACAACCCTCTTTCTCTGCATGTCTACTTGAGTTATAGAGACGGAATGATTTACAATGATCGTCGATATTGAGATTTCGGGTGCTTATGATTTTGAAACATAATAACACCAATACTATTAATTTGCTTGAAGAAAGAAACTAAACAATGGAATAGTAAACCTGGAAGTTCACTAGGTGGTTTTGATCATTTTAGGTGGGTTTGCACATTAAAGAATGATAAATAATTCCTTCTTGTACTACTCACATCGGCTCTAGTTATAATGTTGATTTAGAACACTAATTTAGAACTAGTTCATCCCATTTGGATGCAGTTTTCCATGAGAAGAATCAACAAATGAGCGCCATCTCCACCACGAGAAAGCTGCTTAAATTTGGTGATTGGGGCAAGTTTCCAGCTCTCACTCCTCTATTCCTACGGAATTTCCTTTTTTCTTTCTTCTTCTTGCTAGCTGACAAATTGGAAGAGCCACTAAAAGTAATGCAACGATGACATAAGATTTTAGTTACCATTTTGTGTTGTTTTTAAATCCATTTTATGTTGTCCTTGGCAGTACTTCCTTTAGTCATAACTTGCCTTTCTCATGGTCGGCATCAAAGCTTTAAGTTCCTCTTTCTTTTTAATTTAAATGTGGTATAATTTATTTATTATATATCTACTTAAACGGAAAACAATTTTACATAAATTACAAGTTTATACTTGTTTGAGACTTGATACCCTTTGCCAGACTCCCCTGAATCCTCTTTCGCCAGGCGCCTATCTGCACACACTAACAAGGAGGGGGCGCCTTGGCCCGTTAATCCTCCAACGCCCAAGTTAGTTTCTAGGAAGAGAGAAGTGTCTCAAAGCTAGAGTTTGTGTAAGAGAGCCCAACCTGCGTAAATGCTACCAACTGCCCCTATTTATACTTACCAGAGTTCGAGGTTGATCCTCTCTGCCTCCCTGCCTTCATTCAATGCTTTTGTCTCTTTCTGGCCAGACATCCAACCACCTTGTCAGACTCCTGGCACGTGACAGGCGCCCGCAGGCGCTGGACCACATGACAGCCTGGCCTCCCTTGGCCTCTTGTGCCTTGTCTTCATGTGGCATCCCCTTTACTTGGGCCTTGCCCCCCACTTGGGCTGTTTGGGAGCCCAAGTTTGCTTAGGCCTTGCCCCCCACTTGGGCCTTGCTCATTATACCCCCAACAATTGCCCCCACAGCTAGGTGCTCATTGCTCTGCTGCTGAGCGCCTAGCTGACTCGGTGGTTGCCTTGTCCCTACTTAGGTGTCTGATTTCCTGGGCGCCTCGACCTTCCTGTTTGCCTTTTCGGGCGCCGGATTTAAGGGGCCTCAACCCCTTATGCCCCCCTCATGGGTGGGCGTTTGATATTGACCCCACGTTTTCCTTGTTTGAATTTTGGCCTTTTTTTTTGGCCAAAATTCGAATCAGAAAAGGAAAAGGTGGGGGGAAGCTCAAAAGCCCGCCCTTGATGATGACACGTGGCACGCTACACGCATCTATCCTCCTGCTCTTCCTTTCCTTTAAATACCCCCCTTCCCCCTCAGTCCTTGTCACTTTCCACATTCTCGCCTCTCTCTAAGATTGTTGCTCTGACTTCTCTCTAGATTCTCTCTGACATCTCTCTAGATTCTTCTGCTTTCGTCAGCTTTTCCGTCCATACGTCCAAGCATGACTTCGCAAGGAGACAAAGTTGTCGGCCAGGGCGCCTCCCCTGTTGGTGAAGAGACTAGACCAGGCGCCTCTAACGCTGGCGGCGAGGCAAGGCGCCCCAGTCGAAGTGGTAAGGAATTTTCTTGCTCTACTAGTTGCGTTCCTTATTTTTATTCTAGTTCTCTAGGGTAGGGCGTCACTTACTCTGCGGCCATATTGCGCCTGTGTCGTTTATTGGTTTAGAGAGGGCGCCTGGGTCGACGTCCGCGGGTCCATCAAGCGCCTCCACCCCGGGCTTCATGCCCGCCGATGGATCTTACAAGCATAGTTAGTAAATACTCCGTTTAATACACGTATATGTACTCGTACGTACTTTATCCGTTTAAAACTTCCGTATCCGTATTATTGTCAAGCCGTTTCATTTTTGTCCTTTCATTTGATGGCTCCCGTATTAAACACGTATAAAACCCGTATAACACGTTTAATATCCGTATTTAATGAGTTAAATTACTAACTTTACTATTATTTATATATTTATTTATTTTTAAAATGATTAATTTTTCTATATTTATGAAAATTAACGTACTATTAAACATAACAT